CACCTCAAGCCCCCACCACACCAGCCCCTCCCCCCTGCCCCTCCGGCACCACCAGCCCCTCCAACCCCACCCACCCAGCCTGCTGCGGGAGGGCACCCCTCCTCCCCCAGGCCCACCACCGCCCCCCAAGACTGGTCGGTCCCCCCACCCCCTCCCCCTCCCCCACCTCCCAACCTGGCTCCCAACACACCTCTAGGTGGAGGGGCAGGAGGACTGGCACAGGCTCTGGCAGCGGCCAAACTACGTAGAGTTTCAAGGGTAAGTTTCATAGACTTCACCATCTGTCTGATGCCTAATCTTGTAACTATAGAGAATTTCCACCTTCTATGTAATAAAGGTTAATACTACATGACTGGTGTATTCACTGTTCATAATGAGTTGAACAGGTAACAAAGAATGTTTGAAATGCATTATCCTCTACCAGTAGCAAGTATGTGTTGACTGGGACTGTTTTTTTGCCAGTGTTTACCATTATAGCAAAATTGATGTGAAATGGTTGTGGCTATGAGTCAGTGGATGTTGTTAAGAGCCAAGCATGCTTCTGCAGTGTATGGTCATCCTACCAACAGGGCACATGTGCCAAAATATGTGCATGTTGCATGTAACTTTGTTGATGTAAACAAGGCACAGCTTGATAAATACATAGAAATGTGGAAGGCGGTTAAAGGTAACCAAATTGGTTTGTACCTAATGTCCATATCATGTGTACACAACACTGGAAATTCCACTCAGAAATAGGGATCTTAAAAAGACACATGTATATTCTGTAGTTTGATATTGACTTTTGATATTGAAATTGAAGTTTAAGAGTGACTTTTTACTGTGGTTTGACTTTATTGTTTCATCGGAAGTCCAAACCAGTTGTCTACAGTAAGGCCATACAGTCTTAATTTTATGGATGACATCCTCTGACGACCCCCAAACTAGTGCGCGCGGGTGAATAAAAAAAAATCCGGCCAAAAATAAAAATGCTACTAAACCACAGGAATACATAGCTGGTATTGTGAATTTGCGGCAATACGACATATATACGTATACGACAATCCGGCACATGCTAGCTTTTTTCAGAATTTATCAATTGGCACTGTACGTATGTACTGAGTTCTTGAGTCGTGGAGCTTCAGTAGCCTAGGTGCCCAGCTCCGTATTGTCGCTGACTACCATGGACTACCCAGGCCTAGAGCCAGGTCAGAGCCTCGGTGGACGTGATCTTTTTTTTTTTTGATCTTTTTTTTTTTTAGAACAGGCGAAAATCCATAAAATTAAGTCAGTGTGGCCTAACTTAGGAAAATAAGGTTCTTGACACACAACCAAAATGGCCTTTACATGTACCTGGCTGATGTTTTGGTAACTGGCGTTGTGGCAAGGAGGCCATTTACTAAATGGTCCTGAAAAGTTACCAAAACTTCGCCCAGGTAAATGCCATGTAGGTTGTGTAATCAAGAACCTTACGTTCTACCTGAACAGTTGAGGTCAACCGTGTGAACACGTTTTTTTTTGTTGAACGTCTCTTTTAAGGTCATATTCGCGTATTAAGGATGGCAATCATGACATCCTGTCTGTAATTCTCACCTTGTTTTGTCAAAAAAGGTGTTGTCTGCAATGGACAATATTCTGATGCACCATTGACCAAACATCCAGGTTTCGCTCAGATGAAGTTCGAGTACATACTGCTGACATGCTAACAGTGTGTGAACTGTTTTGTACCTGACAGTCGGACAGTGATGCAGATAACATGTCTCCGGCGGAGAAGGCTCGGTCCAGCGGCGGGGTGCCGGCCATACCCGGGGGCATGATGGACGAGATGGCCGCCAGGCTAGCACAAAGGTCAGAACTACACGCCCTTCAATCTGTTAGCAGCAGTTCTTGTCATAATCATCGTTTGGAAATAATGCTCTAACAAACACTTAACTGTACATTGCTGGTCAGTGCCATTCAGTTACTGTACTCTAATCATATCTCATACTAACATGCATAAAAAGTCACTCATTTTGTTTGACATATGAAAAACTTAGATGACAGATTATTGTCATGTAACTCATCATGTTACTAATTTTTTCTACACTTATGCATAGACTCACCTGTAATAAAGCTGGAATTGTATGGTCATAGACATAGAAAGTGCAGAATTTAAAGCAATAACACATTGTTTTGTTGAAATGCATTGATGTTTAATTTGTCTTTTTTGTACAGTAGATTTTGACTGCATTTGTTATGTATATTTAATCAAGCCTGTTGCATCTCCAGTAGCAGTCTTACGGTATTTTTGGTTTGTTGTCCTGTCTTTTTGTGTTCAAGGTGACGCCCATAAAACAACAACACTCAAAGGTTCCTTTTTTTGTTTCCCCCTCCCTTCTCCTCTCCCTGTGTCTTAGACTGGCAAAGTTTGAGTCTGATTGGTAAGCTAGGAGAACAGAAATGGTATTTCCAGACTTCTATTTATCATTTGCTAGCCTAACACTATGTGTGCTATCAGGTATGTTGTCAGAAAGTTGGTTTTGTTAGCTAGGGGAGTTTGGCATGTTACCCACAATGCATCACACAGCACACTACTTTTGACTATATATATATATATATAGTATGAACTAGCTTATTGTTCCTATCCCAAATTCCTTTGCCTGAGTATGACTTTCTCCTTTCTTTAAAGAAATTCGACTGATCAACTAAATTTCACCTGATTCTTTGATCCATAACCCTGCCATTCTGAGTGAGGCATACTAATAGAAATGTATGATGGGATCAGATATACAACAAATCTAGATTTTTTTGTTTTAGCTTCCAAAAGTTTGAAATGCATGGTTAGAAGTCAGTTGTAGTTACCATGAGAGCAGCCAAATAACCAGATATGTCACAAACCATTAATCAGAAAACACTGTGGAAGTCAATGAAATAAACAAGTTACCACAGGCTTGATTTATATTTAAAAGCCCAGTTTCTGGAAAGTCTGGTTTTTATATCTCCTCCTCACTGTTAGCTAGTCGCTGCCCTTCGACCTTTGTGCCTCCTTTGTGTGTTCTTGTTTCTTGGGATTTTCAGTATTCTTTACTTTGATTTATTCACCACCTTTTTGCTTTCATGCTCAGCACTAACAATGTGAAATATTCCATCTCCGTCAATTAAAAAACTGTTTGTCTATCTCTTGCAGGCGTGCTGCACAGAATGTGAGTATCAACCCTGAGCGTCGAATGGTGGGTCCATTTTTACGATTTGACTGGTGACATGGTGGCTCTGACTATCTCTATCCATTCTACGTCATCTTCTGAATCCTACAATTCTTCTTCTTTGACACACTACAATGTCATTTGTGGTGTCCTCTGTGTCCTGTTAACCTATGATCCATGTCTTTGTCAGAGAGTGTTAACTTCATTAACTACCTGTCAATCAAGCTAATCTGACAGATCCAGGTTACTTGCTGTTGATGGACAACTCACATCAATCTTTTCTGTGAACTGTCAGTCACAGCTTTTTCCTGTAAAAAATAAAACAATTTTAAGTCTTCTTTAATTTATACAATCTGTCACAGTTACAAGTTTGTATTGTTAGTTTAGATTGTGTTACCATCAGCGTTTTTGAGTCAGTAAGTTTTAAAAACTACCTCAAAGTTCTGCGTTAAGATTTCAAACATACTGATAATGATATGGTTGCATGACTTGGCGACTGTGTAAGATCATGATACTAATACAATGTGTATAGAAAAAAAGTTACATGTAAAGCAGTTTGACAGCTTTTCTGTTGCTATGAGAAGAAGAGAAAGTAGAAACTCATAATTTGCATAAAACCTAGCAGTAGCCTGAATTGTTATCTACTTGTCCTACACTGTGTGGAATCTTCCCTGTCCCACTGTAGCAGAAAGAGCAAGAGGAGGGAGGAGGAGATGCCAAGTCTTCACCCAACGCAAAGGTTAACAGCACAGGTCAGCACGTCTCAAAACTCAAACTTACATTGAAATCAATATGGCAATCAGGTACATGTACACCAGTAAATTGTGTTGACTTTCACACCTAACACTGTGACTGATACTTTTGCCAGTTATGATACATTAAAAACATAATCATAATGCCATAATTATAATTGATAAGATTTAGATACACATGTAGATACAGTACATAAGACAAGGGTGTATGGGCCTTAATCGAAAGTAGACAAGCTGTGTGTGGGACTGTCTTTTTGTTATGGCTAGGACTGTGCATGATGTACTAAATGACTAATAAACTAGTGGATGAAGCAACTGCTAGGTATCTAATACCAGCTCAGAAAAGAAAAAGACATAGTCATGCGTTCAAGTACTAGAGTTATCAACCAAGAATTGAGGTGTTAAAAAACTATACACAGGTACATGTAATTGTAGATTTGAACTCGCAGCCACCAAGTACAGTACTGATGTTTGTATTCCTATGTCCAGATGCAAAGGGCAGGCCATGGGAGAACAGGTCTCCCAACAAGTTTGGAGCAACAGGCAGGAGTGAAAGTACTAACGGCTCCAACAAGGGCCCCACCAACGGTGGCAGTCAGTCTCCCAAGTTTGCCAGGTATTCTCAGAGGCGTTTGTTCTTTGCTGTGTAGAACTAGAGATTCCTTTATAATTATAGGATTGTCCTTTCCCCTTTCCTTGTTTTCTCTACTGGCAACTCATGGGCTTGCTGTACTATTTATTTGCTTTGTTTGTTTCTGAGGACAGTTATTCTAAAAAGTGTGAATGGATCTCTCCAGTTGTTGGTGGTGGGTAGGCATTTGGCTAAGGAACAAGAGATGGGAAAGCTCTGGGTTGTTGAAGTTTTAACATTGCCGTATGTGTACATACACATGTACAAACATGTGAAATGTAATAAACTCCCTTTTCCCCTTAACCAATCAGGACGTCTTCTGTAAACGGAGGGTCGCCACCTCTGGAAGGAGACCTAGACAGATTGAAACAGGTCAGTCTTACCTTGTGTGCAGATTTCTACCACTTGTACCAGTGTGATAGTCCATTGCAAACATAGATACCTTATGATGCGCTTCATTCCTACTACAGGCTTAAATTTACATCAGTGACCACGCTACATAGTTGAGTCTACATCAGAACCACCTGGTTGTTGTGGCCACTTTTTGGTGGCCGTTATTTTTTATCCGTTCCATTGGATTTTATTTAAGTTACAGAAGGATGCTTAGACCTGGTGAGGTGTAAACATATTGCCATAAAGTTTGTTGAGAGGCTCTTGTTGATACATTGTTTTGTATTTTCCATATAGGAAATTCTGGCAGAAGTGAGGAAAGAAGTGAGCAAAATGAAAGAAGAAATAATTGATGGTAAGTAAACTATAGCTACATGTACATGTACCATGTTGGTATGTTCCTCTGTAAGGTATAATTGGAACTCAAAGTTGGTAAAAGTTTCTGATGTCATTTGTTCCACTCTGTGATATAATCCAAAAGAAAACACTGTAACTAGACATAACTACACCATGTAACTAACATATTTCTTTGGTCTATTGGTGATCTACTTCAGTTATTTGTGATACTGTACAAGGTAAGCTATAGTACACACGTCAAGGTGTTCTAATAATACATGTAATAGATGAGGACAAGTGCGGTGGCCTGTAGGCAGATATGATTGTGAAGTTTCTGTCTTTCCCTCCAGCAATAAGGCAAGAAATCAGGGCAGAATTCAACAGGCGATAGACCAGAGAATGACACAAGTGAAGAAAAGGCAAAATGAAGAGGAGGAGGAGGAGGAGAGTACACAGCAGTGAACTGATGGGGGCAGCTCATTGGTCTGTTCTCACAGGATGGAGCAGGGCATTGTGGGAACCATCTCTAAGAGATGACACATTAAATACAGAGGTGGTTGCTGTACCCCGTAAAAACTCCCTGGGGCTTAGATAGCTATTTCATGGGTAAGCTTGGCCTTACCCTAATTTTGTAGTTAATTACAGAAAGACAGTCGGGACATTCAGGTGTAGAAATCAAACGGTGGTTCCTAGAAATTTTGTTGTAGAAGTCTTAAACCATCTCCCTCGACTGAATGTGCTGTTGCCCTGTCCAACATGTTTTAGGCTGGAAGCCATGGTGTCTTTTATCTGCCACCAGGAAGACTGTAGACAAATCCAGTTACTTCATACATACCAGTGACCAAGATTTTGGTTATTGTGTTACACATGAGCCGAGATAAACAAATTGTCCTTCCATGAGCCTGCCATTGCCACTGACCCGCATGACGTGGTTTGCCAAGCTGCAGTTCGGAGTGCCTTTTGTTGTTTCTGCTCCTGCAGGTCATTTTTGCAGCTCCATTTGTTCAACCATACATGATACTACAGTTCCAATTAGATGTACCACAGTGTTCCCAAACATTAGTGCCCACCTGTACAGTCCACACAGTATCTCTACTGACGGCCCAATGCTCTTTCAGATGCAACGCTGACAGAAATGGCCTGTGTACATTCATGTATTTTAACAATGCTTTCAAACGTAATTACCCAAATGTACTTTAGCGGTACTAGGATATTGATTGGTTAATTGGGATAGATCTTCAAATGATAATTTGCCATAGATATGTTTCTAGCTACCAGTAATCATTCATAGGTAATTGTGGAAGGCTGCTTTACTGCATTGTATTTTAGTTGCTGAAAGTGTTACTCGGGTGTTTTAAGTTGCTGGGTGAATACATAGATCCCAGATTAGTGTATACATGTAGATAGGAAATTAGTGATTTATCTTGACTTACGGCTTCCTTGCTATTGCATGGCAAAATTTCGCTTCCAAAAGCTGATGACCTTGCCTAGTGGCATTCTGGCTATATGTCATTATTAAGAAGTTGGTGGTTATTCTTGTTGCCACATACACTTTAAAATGTCTGTAATTATCAGGACAAATAAGTATCTATCTGGAAGAGAACACAAAGTCATAAGTAGACTTCCACCTAATTAAGTTTCAATCTGTGTTTTACTCCCACCGTATATTGTGATGCCTTTTTGTATTATATTTGTAGATGTGAGAATACTCATTCATTAGCTAGTGTTAAGGAAGCAATTTACAAAACATATTTTTGTGTACTGTTATTTCAGCAATTTTTCCCCAAGAGTGATCCATGCACAATCATTTCCTACCCCCACTATAGCCCATATTTGTACATTTGTATGTATCTTTCAGCTTTGTTGATTAAGGCCTTTTATTCTTGAGAATTCATGTTTTTTGTAGGATAAGTTGTATTTTTCATAGCCAGGCCATAAACTTACTTATTTGAGTCTAATCCTCAACATAACTTGCTGCTTCTTTCTAGAATCCCTGGTAAAAGAAATGACAAAACTGGTACCCACCGGAACAGTATTGCATAAAACTAAGTATGGCATGGACATAATTGCCAAAGGATTTGCCTCACAACTTGGATGTGAATGGAAGGATGTGGTTTTCTACCTCCTGACCATCCTTGGGACTGGCTGTACTTACACAACACTCTGGGAGGTTAGGCTAATGTATGGTAGGTTGTGGAGTGTTAGCAGTGGGTAGGAGAGTCTTGATCGATTTTGTCAGTTTGTCACAAACTTCTAGTGACAAGATGGAAGCCTTTACAACTATCAGCCGGTAAGCAAAATTTTAAGCGAAATTTGCAATCATGATCAGCTCTTATGCTGGACTGAAAATTTGAGTTGCTATTCCATCTGTTGACAAGATGTGAGGAAAAGCTATTTGGTGTTGCAGAGTGAAGGAAGAGTATCCTGTCACAGCCGTCAGAATGATGTCATTGAAATCCCCCATTTGTCATCCTTGATGTGATCCTGTTGTTAACACCATTGTTATGGAGAAGAATCATGCAATGTTGAGGAAAATTGTTGCAAAGATGAAGCAGTGTGTAGGTGACCCACCAAGACTGGAGGAATCGGAGTCTAGGTATTGTACATGTACAGTAGCAGGTGTCTTTTCCACTGAATTCTTTACACACAGTTCTCCATGTTGGATATGCTCAACTACTCCCATTTCTGTGGAGGGCTGCAGTTTATTTAATTCCTTTGTGAATTGGAAGAGTTTTTATCCAAAGCCACAGTGATGGAATATGAGTATTGACACCTTTTCTGGTACCAGTGTACCATGTTAAACACGCTGATTTGCGCTATAATATCATATTTTCCAGGCAAACAAAAAGACTTCAGTCTCTACAAAAGGATACCTATCCAGATACACCCGTAGAGGTGGAGCATAAAAAGTTATCCAGATATGGAGGACAAAAACATTTTTGGGGTTCTCTTAAATGTGGATACGGTTCTCAATTGACCTGCCAGAAAGGTACTGGTACTTTCTGATATCCCCCGGTATTAAGATACTGGATGGTACAGTCAAGAAGGTTTGATTTTAAACCTCCTTGGTACAGTCAATACCAGTAACTCGAAATGGACTGTAAAAAATCTTCATGGTAGAGCACAATTTTCTCAGAACGAACAGGGAAAAGAAAATGCTCTCAACATGTCAATCAGTGTAAAAGTGCACAGTCTGACATTTTTTTCTACCAGAAAGGTCCCAAACAGAAGAGAAGTACCCCTTTTTGTTTCCATGTGGGTATGGTTACCTATGAGGATTGAACATGTTCATTTTTTTGTTCCTTGGCATCCTGCAAAAAATACATGCTTCATTTCTGTGTGATTCATCTGTAAATGTCTACTTAGGCTCTCTAACATAACTATGCGGTAGTTTTAAATGTGAGAAGAAGACAGCTGTGCTGTCAGGTCTCATTTCTGTTTGTTGTGTTTCCTTCAAAAATACCTGACCATCCACCTGCCCTCCCTGGACTCACCAGCACTCAATTTCCAACTCAAAATATCATCAGTGTGGCTTGTCGATGGAAACCAGAAAAGGACCCAGATCACTTCTGTTTGGCAGAAGTATGGCTATGGGCCATTTTTCTACCATTTTTATTAATAGCTGTTATTATTTCTTCTTCATTGATAATCTATATGTGCAGTGTACTTCAACATTTTGTACTAATGCCAATACCAATAAACTGCATGGAGATCCTGCTGTATGTTGTGTTTTGACTGTGTCCATACCCTGTAAGAAATACCAACCATCATGCATTGAATGAGGAAGTTCATATAACGTTTAATAGATAATTGCATCAATTATGATGATATTTGGGGATTTTTCCGGATTGCCAGCCAGCCCTCCAAGCAGATCTTTTGGTGGCTGGAAAGACATGATTGGTGTCAAAATGGTAACTGTCTGGCTAATGGATATATGATTCTGCCTTTGCGTCCACCAAAAGATCTGCTTGGAGATTACAGTGCATGTACCCACCGTACTTAGTTGTAAATACCCCCTTCGTCTTCAATGGTCTAGCCCAACTAGAAGTCATAAGTTCAAATCGGTTATATAGCCAATCAGCGATCAGTATTTTGACGAAATTATCGTTCGACCAATTAGAGCGCTTCCCGCCCATCGCCCGCGAAGAAGTCGTTACGCTAAAGGACAAAGCGTAAATTTGGTAGGTTCGCAGATCTCTGCTGTGTAAAAGTCGGATTTTTCTGCAGTTTCCAAGGTAAGTTGTATCTTGACCTCATTATGTTCATAACTGGATCCGCTACATTCAATACTTTGCATACTGATCCATTTTATAACAGCTTGTTGCCTATGAAAGTGATCGATGTGGGCAACCACGCCATGATAAAAATTGCAAACAACACATTTGGCCAGAAAAAAAGCCACATGCCACACGTTTCCTTCCGTATGTCCGATCGTGGTTACCGGAAGTTCTGTGGTGTTTGCAGATAACACCACATGTCACGAATAATCTGTTATTCTACGAATAGTCCAATTTGTTTGCTCGGTAAACTTGTCAGGTGTGTAGCGTCCCCGGTACTAGTACTAGTACTACATCGTGTCCTTGTACCCTGGCTACTCTCCAAGCAGAGGTTGGTGGGGGAAGATCGTCACCGTTTTATATATGCCTCGTTTTTTTTTGTCGCCCCCCACCCGTTGGGTGGGGGGCGACAAAAAAAAAAACGAGGCATATATAAAACGGTGACGATCTTCCCCCACCAACCTCTGCTTGGAGAGTACCCTGGCCTGGACGAGGTCGGCTGGACTGACAGTCTGTAACAAGATCCCTTCCTTTTCTTCTGACTTTCCCACTGGTAAATTCTCACCATTTTGAATGAAAAAGAAGGAAAAACAAAATTATGATTTTGTGTTCAATTGTGATTCCAAGTACAGTATGTAAGTTTTGGTGGCCACCATGAGAAACATACTGGGACGTTTACTTTTGTGTACTTTGTAACTGCACTTAGCGTGTCTTTGTTGTTTGAAAACGTCTTGCAAGAAGCGTGAGGTTGTGTACGTTGTCGAGGCGGGCAAATACAAAAGGCTGATCTATCGCACAATGTAGAGCAAATACAAGACAACACAGGACATCTTGTCTTGTCTTTTGTCGTATCGTGGGACTACCAAGAGTAAAGTAGTAGACACATATATAGCGCCATGGCTTGTCAAATCCTGTTTGTCCTGAATACTAGTAACAACCCACTGGAATGTCCACAAACGGGGATGGAATTTTTCAGGCTGCTTAATAATTGCACGCCTAAGGCTTTCCATAAAGTTGCCTTGCGAGCACCGAGTTTTGCTATAAATCCTAAAGTTTATCAGTCCGTAACCAGTCAACCTGGGCCAACTGGTCAACTGTAATCACTTGGCTTGTCCTAGAAGAAATCGGAGTTGGAGATCATTATTAACTTCATTGCACCACTTATTTAATTTAGAGAAACACAAAATTGCAGGTTTATGTGTTGTTGATGTAAAAGAGACATACACTAAGTAACAGTAATTGATTTATGACTCTGACCTACCAGCTACTGAATGCCAGCCTTCCCACCCATCCTGAAAAATAGATACTAGTAATTTTTGACTTTTGGGAAATTTGTGTTTATAAACTTACACTTACATTACAAGTTACAGCCAACTTATGTTATAGTCTGTCAGAAGTGGGCGTGTTGTGTGGTATGTCTGGACAATGTGTTCATTCAGTTGAGAAATCAGATGGATTGTCTATCAGTGGGCCTAGTGCCCAGCAGCACTCTGGAAATTGAAACCAGATTGACCTGAATACTGTACCCTGTTGCCATGGTAACAATACCCATGAGCAGATGTTAGGAAGGAAGATTGTAACATTCCTTTGGTCATTGGGTTTGAAACTAGTAGTTTGACCCTCGTTATGTTTCTGTTTGATTATACTGCAGTTATTAAATAGAAACAGTGGCAAGATTATTTTGTGTGAAAGTGACCACATGAGCAAATTGGATCTGGAAGTAGAATAGGATGGATAATTTCCAGAGTCCAGACTACATCTACTTAGTACATGTATGTGCGGTAGAGGAGTAAAACTTTGATTTTACCTACCAGTAGCCAGTAATTCTAAGGTCAGGCAGGCAGTGGATGCTCCGAACAAAAAGTATGAATAGACAACTGAACACAACAGTGTTTGGAAATGTGACCATAGCACAAGTCAGACTAAGTCTTAAAATGTTATTAAGTCTTCTAATTTTGGCTTTGTACAGCCTGGAAACACACTGCTTCAATAAAACACCAAATCTACATTTGCTTTGTTGACAGGAGGGAAGGATATCGCCATGTCCCGACGTCACGATGCAGGCCAGACTGTCATGGCCAAGTGGCCAGGCAGCCACCTGTGGTTCCACGCCAAGGTGCTGAAGACTCTGGACGGGGACAGGTACATGGTCAGGTTTGAGGAGGGCACAGAGGAGGAGGTCGATGCCCACCATGTGTTGGTGAGTACCGTAGATCGGGAAATTTGTGGGTGGCTTCATGTTTTGAGGTTCTTTGAACATCTGCTCTGTCTTGCATTGAATGTTGTTTCAGCCACAAACACGGCAAACACCTCAATTTACAGTAGTTTGTTGGTTCTTTGATCTGATTTTTAAAATTTATGGTGCTTGTAAAAGGGTACGTGTTGATTGTGATAGAGATAAGATTTATAGTCACACAGTCCAAAGACTGAAAAAATAATACAATGTATTTAGTTATTCTAAAAAGCTAACCTGGTGTCAAAATCACGATACGACGATCATGTATTTTGTATTTCCATTGTACAGAATTGTATCAACCATGAACTTCAGACACAGCAAAAACCTCCTTTTCCTTCGTACCTCAAAATAAAATCCACTGCGAAAGTAAATGCATTCACCTTAGTATCCAGTGTTTAACTTTTAGACATAGACACATGTCAAAATGCATTAATTTTTAAACCTAACTCGCCCTGCGTGTTGACATATTTGGGATTATGTCTTTCAAAACAATGAGTAAGTGGAACACTAGCATGACATGGCTCCCAGTGGTAGTACAATCAAATTATTTTTACTTGGTGGAAGTGTTGATTTAGCTTGTCCGGATCATCATTATGGCAAACCATACTGGTAAAGGCTGTATCTAATCACAAAAGGGGGTAATTTAACCCATTGGCATCTGCTCATTAGGTCTAATAAACATCAGAAACATTTTATGGTTCATTGCTGACCAAATGAGGCAGAAACAATTTGGTGTTCCCTTCAATTGAATGATTATAAGACAGCTGGTAAAACAAATATGACTTTTGCTAATTCAGTAGTTTCTATCAATGATTGTGTAACCACTAAACCAGTCATTGTCCTGGTATGGAAAATACCGGTACATGTACTAGTAAGTGGCACAATCCAAGGACTTTGCCCTTTGGTCCACTGTAAATAAAGACCAGCATACAAATCTTTGGGAGGGGAGCTATTTATCAGAGGACTTCAATACCAAATTGACAAGAGTAGATTTCTTAAAGAACAAGTGATATGACAAGTGAAAGTTGCCATTCTAACAAAGTATTACTTCCTTATCAATAATGACAAAGAGAAGGACAAAACAAATTTATAAATCTTGTGAAACAACCCCATTGTGAAATGGTATGATCCTTGTCCACAGACAGTGGTGTGATGTGTTACTTACATGACGTGATGCCTCAGTTCTAACTACACGTGTACTGCAGGATAGTATTAAGTGTTCAGGTCATATTCTTTTTTACTGCAACTAAGGTGTAGGAAAATTTGTCTTACGAAGGTAACTCCTTTATATTATTTCCATGTCGCTACCGCAAGTAAATACCATTTTAATTTGATTGATAAGATTAATACTAATATAAGGACAATGTGGAATATTTAATGGTAATTAATGCCCATATGCTTCACTGATGTAGTCATGTCTATTTGTCCTTCGGGGTACTTTGAATCTTGTCCACGTTTAGCTCCAAACATACAAATATTCACTCCTTGATTTGCTAGTAATTGTTCTGTCTGTTATGTGATCACAGTTATATGCTGCTGAAAACAGTCATGGATGGTGATTTTATATGGTCTTTTCTTGTTTCTTTTAGTCGGAATCCTACTTCAGCAGGTCAGGTTCCAAAAGTCCCTCTCGTCGACGCTCACGGTCAAGGTCACGAGGACGCTCGCCGGGACGAACCCCCAGGAGACGGTCAAAAAGCCCTGCAATAAAGACCCCAAAAGTCGCCAAGGCCAACTCATCCAGGACCCCGCGAGGACGTAAGGCATCTCCTGAGAAGGCCAAGTCCTCACCAGCAGTCAAAATCACGCCTGAGGCTAAGGAGAAGTCTAGCCCGGAGCCTAAGGCCAAATCTTCTCCTGAACCCAAGGCAACATCCACCCCTGCCAAGATTACCAAGATGGAGGTCAAAAAGGTAAAGGTTCTTGTGTAAATTATCTAGAAGGTGTTTCCCACACTTACCTCTTCTAATTCTGTCAATATATTTTCACATTTTGCATCCAGACATTGCAAAGAAAGCCAGAAATCCCTACTTGGCCAAAGTCTACTGTTGTTTCAGTCAGCGCAGAGTTCTGGTAGAGTCTAAAGTCTGCCCACAGAAAGGTCATAGTCTACACAATGTCTCGTGTGCATTCAGATGTGGTATGGAAGGTAACATGTGAAGTTTCCTGTACTTTACCCTCCCCAGGTTGTTGAACAGAAGAGTGAAGTAGTCCACAGGTATGCCACTCGCTCCAGCACCAACAAGGAACTGGTCCCTGGCCTGGACATAAAGCCTGGTCCTGTACCTAAGACCAACGAGCGCGAGTTTGGCGGTCCCGTCGGTACGTTCCTCATGACGTTCCTCCTGCCAGCCACGGTGCTGTACCTGTACGGCGTGTGTAACAAGGCCCACTGTGACCTGGTGTTCGTGCCACACCTCCCCAAGACGCTGGATGCCTACTTCAGCACAAACGCTGCGCTGGTGTTCCTGGGCTGGTTCCTCTTCCAGGCTCTGATCTACATGCTTCCCATCGGACGGGTGAGTTTGCACAACCTAGATTTAGCTTTTGCTTTAAGCCATACTGATTTTATTGTATGTGATCATAACATCCCCTCAGCACCCCTAAACTGATATGAGCATGTGAGGAATAAAAAGTTGAGCAAAAAGAGTTGATGGTGCAAGTGTCAATTCGAGCCCTGCTTCCCTTCCTCTGGCATCTTCTTTTCCTTTTGACCAAAGAAACATTTTGGTGGGGGTGGGGGGCGAATCGGAAGAAAACTTATGCATACATAAGTCAAGTCAGTGTGGCCTTAGTAACTCTACAGCCAATCAGATTCTCTGCTGAGATTGAGAAATCACACCTCTTGCGATCTTACTCACATGCCACTACAAGAAATTAGTCATTTTTATTTTATGCACTTCAACATATGGTAGCATATTTGAGATCGAGACAAAATCATGATAAAGACAACAAGCAAAAGTGATTCCAACCTTTTTTCCTTTCCACAGTTAGCTGACGGTGTGCCCCTGAGGGATGGACGGATGCTGAAGTACAGAATCAATGGTGGGTCATAAGATTATGGATTTTCACTAGCTAACAAGACACTATTTTTAAACTGGTTGAGTGTTTGGATCAGGTAGAAAATAATAAAACTGTACAACAAGGCAGTCGCATTCACTCATTTTTCCGAATGTTTTCC